GAGAACAGGTGACACTATTTCAATTAAATTTGTTGTAAAATATGCCTTTCACGCCGTTATATGCATTTCAAAACCATGCTCATAATATTAAAATGAAGCAGACGAATTTTATATTACTCAACACAATAAATGTGGAGTAAATTTAGAATCGATCTATTAAAAAAAAATTAATATGTACTCTAGCTCAATTTCTCGAAAAAGAACTTTAAAGTTTTACAATTTTCCATCAAACATTATATTTTCATCACGACGTTATATTACGTTAGTGCGACATCATTATTTTCGTATACATTGTACCTGTGTGACCAGAAAAAAATATTAATTAATCAACAATTCACTCAAAATAAAGCATATTATCCGTAAATTCAATTTTTATTGATTGATGATAATGTTCATGTAAAAGTTGCCATACTTTACCCACAGCGTGGCACTATTTCATTGAAACACAGGAAAGAAGTCATATGATTTTTTTCCTCAATAAACTCAAGCAATGCGGAAAAATTCTACAAAAAAGGACGTCTTATCCAAGGGGAAATTTGGCCAATTTTGATCAGTTTAGCATGTTTGTTTTCAGCTTATGACTTCTAAATAAATCAAGTATTACAGTGGCGGATCCAGAAATTACAGAATGAGAGGGACAACTCTTGCCTTGACCCCACCCACCCACCCACACACACAACACTATCAGCAGGTCTACATGTAACGCAAATCACTATTGGATGACATGCAAGAATAGATGGCAATTTAGAACGTACATATATTTTATTTCATGATGTTAACTACTTTTATTTCTTTTTTAGAATCGATTTCTACATATGATTAAAAACAAAATCACCTCAAAACTATATTGATGAACGCCTCCCTTGTTGAGAATTATCTAATTCATCAATGACACCCCCCCCCCCCCACATGTAGATATGATCATACTATTTTTTTTCACATAACTGTGCATGGCTAAGACAATAGTGTTGATCTTTAAAAATCAAATTCCAGATATTACAAATTCCAAGTGCGCATTTCATCAAGATAATAACTTTGTAATAATGATTTAGAGATATGTAACCTTATGTGTAAAACAAATTAATATCTAGTCACGTAAAGTAGCATGTAGACTAAAACAAAACAAAACAAATTTTACAAAAGTACCGAATAAATCATCAAATAGGAGGGCAGGCGCTTGACACTCCGGCGCTGGATCAGCCTTTGTATTGTATCAACATAATGACATCTTAGAAGGATACACAAACATATATCATGTGAAGGACTACATGTAAAAGACTGCCTTGACCTCAACATCGCTGACACGCCATTCCGGGGGTAAGGGGGGTGTTGTTCAAGCTTCCATTTTGGGAATTTTAATCTGTATTAAACTGATCTGAAATAAACTAAATCAAATAACATAATTCACGAAACTGTGCCAGTTTGGTGTTGATGTCAAAGCAACAGTCCTTTGCCATTTGTGTTGTGGCGTGTTCCTGTGGACACGGAATTCGTTTTGTCGCACCTACTGATATTCTATATAGAGAATGGATGCCAATCCGTATTTTATTTTCACCAGTGCAAGAAAAGAGATGTAAAGGTTAATTGAAAAATACACACTCTTTCAATCCCTCTGCAACAATTTCAATTCAACTACTCGCCTCCCTGCCTCCCATGAATTTTCGTCCGTGCAGTATTTTGCAAGTGCGGGAGCATCTTCCGACTTTTCTTTGTGTTGTGTTTTTTGTTTTAAAAACCGAGTTATTCAAGCTTGCTATTCTTTCCTGTTACACAAACTTTCCTTTATGTTCATTGCGAAAAGGTTTTGATGGTTTGTTGTTTGTGACGCATTTTTTTTTTTTTTAAAATGATGTAATTTTTTAATTCCGCAAAAATAAATTGAATGACAATTATATATGCAAAGAATGAGGAATTATTGCGTTTTACTTTGATAAACAGAATTAGTTTTAGCCCCTGAATTTTCCAACATAAAGAACACTCTTATTTTAGTTAATGATCCATCCTTTAGCTATAGTTATAAATGAATAAATATTTTTACAGACTACACAAGCTTTACTGTATGTTTCATTTAATACCGTATACTGCTGAAGATATTTTTTGCTTGTTTGTAGTTTGATACGTAAACGCGATAGGCTTTATACGTCGAATCCTATTGTGACGTCAGCAAACCCGCGATCTACCTTAAATAATTGTATAGCATAGGCGTCAAAAGAAAATTAAAGTGAGGGGCTAATTGAAAGTGTGTGTGTGTGGGGGGGGGGGGGGGGGCTAAATCTTAAAAAAAAATGTAAGCCTCAATTTTAACGCCTATATTATGTATATCTTAGCAAAAAAGTGGGAGGTTAAGCCCCCCTAGCCCCCCCCCCCCCCCTGGTTCCGACGCCTATTTATAATGTGGACCGAGGCACTTCCTGGTATCGAAGATGTCGAGTGTCATCCCTTGTTTTTTATGTACAATGAAATATGATTTAAAAAAAAAAAAACTGTGGATTTCAGTGATTTCCGATTTTTAATATAATTAGTGAATTTAAACACTCAATACACAAAATACACTATCCCGAAACAAAGCTTCTTTGACTGGAAGCAATGTATCTCTATAATATAAGTTACTAAGCAAAATGATCGAGTGCGAGAAGTTTCTTGGTGCAAAACTTTCCATTGATTAAGAACCGCTGTGTTTATGTCTTACAAAACAAATATCTGGTCAGATGCTGAAGACTTGTAAGTGGCAGATCAACATGCGTATATATTTCTTAATCCAACATCATGACCCACCCTTTTATTTTAAATAAATTTTAGAGACATTTTATGTCATTAGTTGATCTATTTTTAATTAGCTAGTTTATATAATTCAATATTTAGGTACAATGTATGTATGATATAATTGTGGGTCATTAATTTGTATATATATAATGTTGTGGGATCAATGTGCAGTACGAGTATATTGTTGTGGGATAGTATATAAGTATAAAGATATACGTATATATCCAAAAAGGTAAAAGAACATTGTTGGATATATACTGGGTTTAGGCAGTTAACGCTTTATAAACCGCGAAGTGGTCACCTTTTCAAACCTTCAGGGACCATTCAATCGACTGAATGGCAGAGGTTCATCCCGTGGGAGGATAAAAGCAAATACTCGAGGCTATTTAGCGAGTAAAATGGTTAGAGATTGTCCTATTTTGAATTACTTGTTTTATTCAATACGTTTTTGACGTAATTTTTTTTTTTTTGTTCCCAAATCTTTTATCTCTTTCTCTCATGAAGATGTGTTAATATTATAAACACATATATTACATAAATATATCTATATATCTATATCAAGGTTCTACATGTACATGTAATGCATGTATCGGATAATTATGGGTCATTTATATGTACATATATATAGATATAGAATATTGCGGGATCAAATTACAGGCAACTATACATCATTCTGGGTCAATATATTGATATAAAGAACATCGTGGGATATGTACAGTTGTACTTGTCTATCTATAAAATATTAAAATCACTGTTGATTTGATTACACTTCCCTAAAATCTTAACGCGTAATAATTTTTTTCTGAATAATCCTTGAGTTGTGAATGATTTTCTGCGACTTCATACTGACATATTTCTTTATTACTTAAACTTCACAGTTCACATCAGGGTAACGCGCCTTCTTTATAGTAACATTTTAAAGTAATTATATCTTATAAAATGATATACTTGAAGCTTTCTTTCATATCTGAATAATTATATAGACTTTAGGAAGAACACAACTATAGTACGATTAAAACTTATAAAATTATTTAACCTTATTTTTTCTAGATTTATACAATGTATTACATTAAAAGCAAAAGCTCATGCATGGCATGACATACATGTAAATAAATAATGCGTTACAATCTGATAATGATTCACTGCAATTAGGCTATAAAATCTAGCTGTTTCCCATAATCCCTCCAATACTCATGGGGAAGTATATAAAAAATTGTGGGTCACGCGCGAAATTCTGCCAATCCACAGAGTGGTAAGATTTCATATATATATAATTGCATTGTGGGTCATTTTTTGAGTGTGTAATTATGGGTCAAAAAATTTTTTTTTGTAAAAAATGAAAATAGTAACTATATTATTGTCATAAACAAATTTTTAGGCACATGGTTTGTGGGTCAATATATAATGACCCATAAACCATCCATGATACCCACAAAGTGAGTGAAAAAGACACAAAATATCCCACAATCCGCATGGCACAAAACTATATATACATATATTAAAATAAAATCCAAGATAAACAAACAAGTTCACATTTAATTATTACACTAAGCGCTTTCGCCGTGAGGCTCTTCAGAGTGTAACAAAGTTTATAAAAACAATACAACTTGGTTGTTATGACGTCGTTATTGTGACGTCATAAAGGCAGCATTATATATTGGCGCAGGTAAATGTCATTAGGGCGCCAAAAGTAGAGAATTGAACATATGTACATTGTTGGATTTTATTTTAATTTATAACCTACCTATACCGTGGACTTTTACTACAATTTCAATATATATATATATATATATATATATATATATATATATATATATATATATATATATATATATATATATATATATATATATATCAAAAACTGGAATGGAATTTGGGACTTTAAATCGGAGATCGGTTGTTCCTTACAAGCCATGCCTTTATTAATAACAAATTAAAAAGAAATAACTAAAACTGTCACTTTTTCCGATAAACTTATTTCATTTTATTAGCACATAATTGTAAATACTGTGCACTGACTTGTACATTTTAAATTTTTTTCTTGCTTTTGAGATTTGGACTTTCCTCTTCTCTACTTGCATAAAACATTGGCAAATTTGGACAAAAACAAAGCTCGTGGTGTTGCAAATATTAATATTATTTAACTTAAACCATATCTCTGCTCATTTAAATATAAATATACATGTAAAATATGTTATTGCTCATTCTACTCAAAAAAACGAAAAAAGGAACTTAACAATTTAATTCATCTGATCCATCCACACAATCTACATCCCCGTCACATTTCCATGACTCGTGGATGCACTGTTCACGATCGTGGCACTCCCATTCTCTATCTGCTTTACACCTATTCACTTTTACTGGCGTGCAGTCTTTTTCATCACTCTGGTCATTACAATCAGCATCACCGTCACATTTCCAGGAAAGATCAATGCACTGCTTATCTGAACATTGGAACTGGGCAGCAGTGCATACAGTTACATTAGCTGTAATAAAGAAGTAGTAAAAATTAATGAAATGTACAGTGCCAATAAAAGCATTATCACTGTGCAGTTTATCACTTGTACTTTCAAACTAAAATATGGGTATAAATATTAATATAAATATAACAAATTATAAGTTTTTGAAGAACATAAAGCCACATACGACATTGTTTTTCATCACTGTTATCGCCGCAGTCATTATCCCGATCACATCGCCATTTGTTTGTTACACACTTAGAATTGTCACATCTGAATTCATCGCTAGCACAGGTAGGGGAAGCACAAATCTCATCTTCACCATCAGAACAGTCCGGGGAGCCATCACAACGCCAGCTAGCTGGGATACACGCTCCATTTCCACAAGTAAACTGGTCTATAGCACATGTTTTATTTTCTTAAAGTAAAATGTTTTACAAGTATTTATTATTGCTTTCGTTTAATGTAACAAAAAATTGTTTTGAGATCGTACGTGGAAACAGACTAAAACTGGAACATACTGCAAACATCTGTTTCATCAGAACCATCAGGACAGTCTTCTTCTTTGTCACAGGTCCACCTTATCGGCAAACATTGACCTGAGGTACATCTGAACTCTTGATTGGAACATACCGTCTTACTTGCTAAAATTCAGAAATCGATTAAATAGACATTATCAGCTTAATTGTGTAGAACGTATGAATCTGGAGCAGACATAAGGAAATGCATTTGTTTATAAACATAACTAAAGTTTGTTGAAGAGAATGTTCATAACAAAGTTGCGATTATCATATATGATTTTGTGCGTGTATTTAGCTATAGAATCACAAATATTCACAACACTCAAACTTTTGAATCATCTGTGACTATGTAAGTAGGAAAGAAATGAAAAAACAGTAAAATCTTTAATGACCAAGTTAAGGATTCCTCTTGGGGAGGTTTTGTAGAATGTTGTAGGGTATTACTTCTGCGCAAACAATGAGTTATTATATAGCTTTATGCAAGGTTTCCCGCCATTAAAAATTAAATCAATCTCTCCTTCTTTCTCACTAGTACTCTGTATAATAAGGCCCGACAATAGTTCGTTCTTCTCACAGAATTAGGCCTATAACATACTTAAACATTTACTCTATTGTATTCAGAATGTTATCTCTTTGAATTGTTTTTCATCCATTGTAATAAGTAGGCATTGTCTAATTATTATACTGTCTCAGGTAAAGGTTGTTTACAATCTGTATAAAATGCCAGTAACCTCTTTACTTGTCCCATACTATTTCTTGTCCGATTACATTTCAAACATTCTTCTTAATAATAATTGAAATGCATATTGTCTTACAAACAAGACATTCGCAAAACATATATTAAGATGTGGTTCAAAGACGTCTGCGATTATTTGCCAAAAAAGACATACTTTATACTATTCTACAATATTTAAAAATTTTAAAGTGCCTAGCGTTTAACAAACGTTCACATCACTTTGCTACGAGACTAACTTATGAAATATATATTTAATAAATGAACTCACGGCAGTTTTCCTCGTCTGATTGATCACCAGGGTCTGGACAATCATACGCTCCATCACATCTCCAGTTTACAGGAATACAGTTCCTCATACATTTAAACTCGTTCTCTTTACATAAAAGGGGTGTGTTGGGCACAGCTAAGTAAAAGAATATATGATTATACAAACTTTTTTTAAGTTTGTCAAAATTTATTTACATCGGATACTAACATACTACTTGCATTGAACTTCCCGCTAAGTATTCACAAAATTTATTATTTTGGTAAATGATGTAAAATTTCTTACCTCCGGGTAAAAGACACATTGCCATGTAGATAATTAAAAACAAAAGTTGGAAAATATTCCTCATCGTGGACAAATATGCATAAAACCTAGAAAATTTTTACAATGATTGACGAATTCATTAAAAGGATATGTACTAAGAACTGACAAGCGAAAAACAGATTCATACAACAAAGTTATCAATTATATACATATATTCATGCATGGTGAGTACTGTACTTATGGCCACTTACTTTGCTTTAGTGGAGATTCCCACTAAGTGGATCCACCGATTTTCTTATTCGTAAGATGTGTCAAGTAGCATTTGCTTCTTCGATTAGAGTGTTTTAAAAACTTGACTTTAAGTTTAATAAGATACAATTATAGTCATTGCATGGGGGTTATTTATATCTCCTTACCAACTTCATCTGTCTTATTATATCATATGTATATTGCGAAATAGACGTATAGTTCAAAATACACGTAACACTAATTAAAACAAGAACATATTTAGAATATTTTTGTCCGTTTAAAGAAGACGAATTGTTTCTCTTTCTATTTTCTTTTTTTTCATATTGTAATGTGAGAAAATAACACAAAGGAATTTGAATTGTCATATTTGAAATATAAACTGAGAAAATTAAACAAATAGGTGAAACAACTGTACAAAAATGGAAGAATTCAAATCTAGAATGTGCATAAAAAACTTGTAATGACAGCTTTATACGTTAACATACAATGAGCTAAAATAATGCAAAAAAGGTGTGTTTGGGGAGATGGAAAAAAAAGAACACTTTTCCCTGCAAAGAACACGAGGAAATGCTGCGCCACCTAAGCAAATGAAAGGAATTTTATTAGTCTGAAATTCACAAACCAAAACATTAAAAATCAGTGGATATAATTACCATGGAACACAAAGCTTGTTTAAAACTGGGTAAGAATTAATATGAATATTACTGAATGTGGGTACATTTTCTCTTAAATCTAAAATCAAAATTAACAAATGGTAATTAGACAGATACAACACTGTAACAATACATGATTGTACAGTGTGTAAGTGCGAATTTGAGTTTTAAAACGAATTGATCATATATAGTTACACCTTGGAAAAGATAAAAAAGAATAGTGACAATGACGAAATCAACTCAGTGGAATTGCAAGACCAAGCACGTTTTAAATGCATAAATTATTTAACCGCAGTCATAAACATTCATTTTCATGACAGCTAACCTACAGATCCAAAACTACTGTAACAATTAATTACTAAATATATCATTTTTTTTTCATAGAAGAAAATATAAATGCACAAAATTTCTAAATTATATATGATATTTCTGTCTAAACATCGACAAGATTTCCTCATCATAATTAATAAAACTTTTTACGTCTAAGAAATTTAGACAGGTAAGTTGTCCAATAGCCATATAACTTACTGTAGATTCCTAAATATACGCGAGGAATAAATTATCGCGTAATTACGCGAGAAGCACCACTCGCGAAATAAAATTACTCGCTTTTATTTTTATGGTGCTTTAATGTATGTAAAATCTCTAGATAAATCACCCATTCGCGAATTATTGTTCTCGCGGTTTGACGCCCTTGGGCCATTTCGCGATATTAAGTACTCGCGTAAAATAAGGAATTTACAGTATTTGGTAGAACACTAGATGTCAGCAGACCAAGGTCCGATGCCTCGTATAGTTCGTCTTTTTCTCCTTTCCTATAAAATTATATGTTTAAGGGGTCATGATCATCTGCTCTAAATTTCCACAGAAAGTTATAAAATTCCCAACATTGATTTTCACCAACAACAAAAGCATTAGATTCAAAAGGAAAATAATTGTAGTAGCAATAGTTTGAAACAGTGCTTACTTTTTCAGAAGTGATTTTTGTCTTTTTTTAAGGTCTTACCCTGATTTGAAAAAGAAATTGACACAGTGAATAGAAAGAGCAATAATTAATTTATCACAGTATAAAATTGAATATGAGGTAAACATTGTATATGAAAGTGATACTTCGTGTCATACACTTTAATTTCATATTAAAAAAACAATGAAGCACTGTTTTTTTTTTAATCAAAATATCACAATTTCTGAAGCGAGACAGACAATTGATAAATAAGTTGATGACACAAGGATATCAACAGTCTCCTTTAAAGTCAACATTTCACAAATTTTATGGTCAATACAATGACCTTGCATGCGCGGATATAGAGGGGGTCGGGGGGATCGGGACGCCCTGGAATTTGCAGAGTTATTAAATATATACACTGAAGCAAATAAAAAATGACTCTGGACACCTCCCCCCCCCCCCCGGGAAAATTGAACCCCACCACCACCACTACGAAATACGTTTTTCACGTTGAAAATGGATTTGGAAATGAATTTACGGGGTTTTTTGTTTTGTTTTTTTTTTCCATACAAAATGTTAGGCCATTATTTTCACACCGAATGGTCTTCAGAATTTTCCGTTTGTCCGATCGTTCATGACAAGGAGCGCACGGCGGGTGTGATCGATCGACAGGGGATGTTTAGTCCTTCATGGCACCTAAACCTACCTCTAATGTTTTTTGAAGTCCACATTTGCTCTTCCGTCAATTAGTATTGTTGGACATTTTAGAATTATTTTTAGGAAGTTTTCAAATCGTTCGACTTTAAGGAGGAATGATTGTGGTTTATTTAAGGAATAAAAATGCATAGCCTGATTGGGGGAGTTTACGCTTAATCCACAAAGCGTGAACAACAAATACGTAGATGCTTATAAGGGCATGTCCATTTTAAACATAATTATCTCCCGAAAATTAAAATTAAAAACATTTGCTAACTTGTTCTATGTTATTCTACTTGTGGGATGCAAGGTGGTCTTGCATGTACATAGCTGATGATCTAGCTCGCTGTTCTAAAGAAAAATGGAATGGACGACCAGAGAGCTACGGATCAACCCATAGGAAACGTTTATATACTAGTATATATGTATTTATTTTTTCAATATATTTAAACTGCTTTCTCAAAGTACTACTCTTCACGTGTTCTTAACATATTCTTCTACCAATTCCACAACAAAACACCGGTCCTTCGGATGAGACCATATAAACCGAGGTCCCGTGTCGCAGTAGGTGCTGGCTCGGAAAAAAATCTTTCACTGCTCAATGGCCCTGAATGCCGAGTATAGGTCAAAATTTGCAGCTCTCCACCAGCAAGTGGTGACGTCTCCATATAAGTGAAAAATTCTCGAGAGGGACGTTAAGCAATAAACAAACAAAAACAAACACAACAAAACATTCCTCACAGCCAATGCTACTAGTCTTTATTAGCCTGAAATTGAAACCATCGAAAACTTCGCCTATTTATACTGCCATTTTGTGTGGCATGAGTGTCACTATTCGGTCCAACACAGTTCTTGGATAACTTACTCATACATTGTATATCTTTGTCTTTTCAGTCTTTGGGTCTAATATTTTTTCTTCTCTGGAGTTCTGCAACATGTTAATATTTTTGTACCAGATGTTGAATTTTACCTGATTTATTAAATATTTGAATTTTCTGATTGGATTGACGGAACTTTTGCACCAACGTTACACATTGTTAGATTAGTTCAGATTTATTTATGAGTGGCGAAAAATATTTTTCCTTATG